CCTCTTTTCCAAGGACCCCTGCCTCTGTTACGCTGCACAAGAGGAACAGGGCATGAGGGCATATGGATGGAAGGCAAAAGGCCTCATGGGAAGGTTGTGCGGGCTCTGAGAGAAAAAGACATCACTTTCCATTCTGAAAGTGTTAATAATTGACCAGCTGTGCCCACAGGAGGCACCCAAGGATTATCTGCATGCTACAGTGGGAGGAAACTGAGGCACAGAAGGAGTACGAGGCCCAGAACAGTGCAGCTTTGCATCCTGTGCACCACTCGGTCAGTCCAGCATGCACCAGATGCAAATCAATGGCTTGAAGTTGCAGCAAAGCAGGTTTCGATCGGATCTCAGGGAAAACTTCTGCACTGTCAGAGCAGGGAGGCCATGGAATAGACACCAGGGGAGGGGTGGACTCTCCATCACTGATGGAGCTCAGACAGCCACTGGTCAGGGATGGTCTAGGCCAGTGGTCACCAACCAGTGGATCCCGATCCACCAGTAGATCTCAGAGCCTCTTGTGGTAGATCTCGGAGCTTCTTGGAGTCGATCCAAGGCTGGGGTAGGGGGCTGAGTGACCGTGTGTATGCACGTGTGCACCCCGGCCCAGCAGGTCAGTCTATGGGGGAGGGAGGGGATAGGGTCTAGATTGAGGCCCCCACAGTGAGGGACAGTGCTGCAGAGGCAGGAGCAGGGGTAAGTTGAGTGAGGCCCCAGCCGGGTGGGACTTACCTGCTGGGGAGGTGTGCCCCCAAATAATTTTTTCTCCCTCTGTCTCAATCTGCACTCCCTTCCCTCTCCACAGATTTACCTGCTGGGTGTGGGGGAGGCAGGGGGCGGCAGTGGTGCACAGTAGATCTTGAGTTGCTTTTACATGCCGAAGGTGATCTACTTAAAAAGGTTGGAGACCACTGATCTAGGCATAGTGATGCCTGTTCTGTACTGTGTGGATTTCCCAGGCTTCTGGGCTGTGCTGGTTGCCCCCCACCCCCTTTTGCTCCATGCGTCAGGGTGTTTTTAAGCCTCCCGCAGAGGCACTGGGTGTTGGCTGCAGCCCAGGCTGGGGATGGCAGCCGGGCTGTGCCAACGCTTCTGCTGGGACCAAAGCCAGAGGTTCTTGGCTGGAGGGTCTTGCTCTTCTACTCAGGCTCAGATCAATGCTGCATTGGGGTCAGGAAGGAATTTTAACTCCTGGGCAGACTGGTATGAATCACGGGGAGTTTTGCCTTCCTCTGCTGCGGGGGGCATGGCCTCTACCTGGGATCTCTTGAGTGTATATTAACAATCTTTTACAGAAGCAGGACGTTGACTGCCATGGTCCCGCACCTGTGGCAGGTGGTGTTGTGTCAGGGTTGATGGTAGTTTTACTAAGAAGTTAGACTATGGATGTGCCTGGGATGATTTGGGCAGGGCTGGTCCTGCCTCAGGCAGGGGTTGGACTAGATGACCTCTTCCAGCCCTACTTCTCTATGATTCACTGCCTTCAGTTCCTTTGACCTTTGTCACTCCAAGTACTGGCTCCTGGGGAAGTTCCTGGCAGCAGGCCTGGCCCAAAACAATTTGTCTCAAATGCCAGGGAAGATCTGTGGCAGAACCAGAATGCCCCTCTGTTCACAAGGCTTCGTGCCTGGGCTGGCTCTGGCTGCCCGTCCACGCCTCCCCTGCCCTTTGAACACACACATCCCAGCACGCAGCCCCTTTCTCCCATCCCATGTGCAGCTGTGGTGGTTGTGGGAACCCACCAAGAACCAAAACAGTTTGTAACTCAGCTTGGTCCTTCAAAGGAGCTTGGCTCTTCCTATCAGCCCTGGACTTTGTCTCTTCCCTGAGTGATTCACTCAGACATGCCATTCATGAAACACCCTGTCTCCAGAACTGTTTACTTCCCCAGTAATCAGCAGCTCATTAGCTTTAATCAGATCACTTTTCTGTCACTTCCTTTTCTGTGTGTGTAGAAGGCAGAACAAAGCTTTGCAGTGGGACACATGGGGATGGGGATGTCTTTTTTCATTGTTGGCACTTACCAGATTGAACTCACTGGCCCTTAATTGGATGCTGTGGAATTTAAAGAAGAGAACCCGAAGTGGGAGGCAGGCTGGCCGGCTTGGGGTCAAACTGTCCAAAGTCAGGAGTGGAGACTGTGTGACTTGCTGGGGGCATATGAATGGGGACCAGGACCTTGGACCCAGAAGGGATTTGAGTCCTTGAGGTTATTCAATAGGCAGCTTTGCCAGCACTGATCCATGGCATGCGCCAATGTACCTAAAACCCAGAGGTTCCTGGCTAGAGGGTCTTGTCCCTCTGCTCAGGGTCAGACCCATGCTGCATCAGGGTCAGGAAGGAATTTCAGCTTTGTACTATGTGAGTTTTTGCCTTCCTCTGTAGCAGGGGCATGGCCTCTTCCCTGGATCTCTCGAGAGCGTTTTAACACCCAGCAGCAGGACACTGACAGCCCTCATCCCCCTGCTGTACCTGTGGCAGGTTCAAGTGTGGTGCCTTGCAAGTGTGCAACAGGGCTGACTGTGTAGTCTTAGGATGTGTCTGAGATGGTTTGGACAGGGCTGATCCTTCCTGGAGCAGGGGGCTGGACTAGATGTGACCTCCCGGAGGCCCTGCCAGCCTGACTTTTCTACAATTCTCTGACTAAAACCAACCAAGGGGCCACTGCACCAGAGAGCAGTTAATCCCCCAAGGCAAACTGCACCAAAGCTAAAGCAGAATCCCCGTCTGCCCTACAAAGCTGGGCAGCCGTGCTGGCCAGAAGCATGATGCAAATGGCTCCTTTGGTGGGTCAGATAAGGATGCTGACGGGAAGGTGCTTTTGTCACCTGGGCTGCTGCTGTTGGCAAGGTGTGGAGCTACACTGGCAGCAAACCTCCTGGGGACATATGTTTCTATCCAGGGGAGGGCTCTGTGAGCCAGGCTATGTCCACAGAGGCTCTGTTGTGAGATAAGCCATGAAGAAAGGTCTGTTCTTACTTAGTATTGCCAACCCCACCATATCAAAAATCATGAGACAAACTCTTAAAAATCAAGAGATTTGGAATGTAAATCATGAGATGCTATTTTTGAAGTGTGTGTGCACAGTTCCCAGGGCAAATGCAGCAGAGCTCAGAGCCCACCCTGCAGCAGGCAGACTGCCTCTGCCCTGCATACAAACGTGGGGGGCATGTGCCCCCCATGCCTTCCCCAGCCCCCCATTCACCCCAGCCCTGCCCTACTCCCTCCCTCACCGTGGGGGCCTCAATTTGC